TTTCATGTCACGTGGGTTTCTCGAATAGGTTACTAACTCTTGTTATGTTCTCCCTATACTGCCTAAAAAATCAGTTTAGCAGTGGAAAATTAATAAACTACTCAATTTCTGCGATTAATTTATGAACTTTTATAATCACATCGTAAAGGCAGAACCTTGGCGAACTTTCACATATAACTTTCGATAATAATTTCTTTTTAATTAATTTATTATTAATAATTATTACATGGCGTGTTTGAAATGTTGCCGAATATCTTAATGGTTTCTCATTAATAACTATCTTTCATGACTTTAATTTTTGACTTTTATGCATTCATTATGAAAAGAATATTCTTGCGCGTCTTCTTATATAACTTTCGATTATATTTTTCTTCTAGTTTTGAATATAAGTAAATAATTTGACCGACCATCATGTTCGGCGTTGTTTTCAAATTACCCACGCCGTCAATTAATTATTAATAACATTTAAATTAGCAACAAATTATGTACAAAAGTAGAATGAGAATGTTTCTCAGAGTTTCAGCTTTTCGACAAGGCTATAAAAATTCATAAATTATTAGCCGGAATTGAGTAATTAGTTAATATTCTCTGTCGGAACCTTTTTGTCTTTTTCTACCCGTCTTCCGTCCTTGTCAACCACGTGACGAGGTATAGACGACTTCCTTGTGTGTTCTATGTTCCTATTACTTTTCTGATCATTTGGTCTAAAATCATAGATGGCGCTGATCGAAGTTGGAGAATTGAAAACCACGTGTCTTGTTGGGCGGGAGAAACAAAACAATAAAACGACATAAATAAGTATAACACATTTTCTTCCCTTCTCTTTGCACTCTTAATAGCCCGACGAACATAAAGTCATAGATGAAGGCGAATGATTTTATGTGAATGAATGTATATTTATGTCAATGGTCTATAAAGTCGTAATGAATTGTATTTTTTTTCCTGAAATTTTATATGGTGGTTCCTTTGTACCCGGCTTGCGCGTTACTACGGCACTGTCGAGGCTAGGGTAACGAGCAATGCCTGCGTTGCGGTAAAAGCACGTGCTACGTTACCGATAAATATTTTCTTGATCTAATCAAATTGATAGTTGTTTCGACAATTACGTTCCATGGTTTCTTCTTCAGAAAAATCTACAGAGGTCGATAGTTTGTATCAAACTCGTGTCAGATAAAAAACTTTTCGTAAAAATGCATGGATATACGTAGACAGCACGCTAGAGGGCTTATTTTTAAACATCGATGTTCATTTATAGTTATTCAGAAGCACAAATAATTATAATTATTGACATTGAGAAACTCAAGGAACTCCCACCTAACTTTCAAGATGAAAATGAATCTTCAAACATTTTACTTTTTATGTAATACTTTATTTTATCCAGAAATTATGCTTTCTCAGAAAAACTCATATTTTTCGGAAATTGGAAGTGCTAGAGCAATTTCGATTACATATTCTTGTTCAGAAAAATAAACTCTATAAGTATCACTCAATGGATATCACTGATTACGGGAAGAAGTTAAAATTTGTTGCTGCAATTATCGTTAATGTAAGTCTGTCAAAAATATTTATAGAAATGGATAAAGAAAAAATTGTTACGACTTTCAAATATGTTCAAACGTTATTAAGTATATTCAAGGATATTCGCTTATAAGTTTATCAAGAGCTAATTTACACGCGAGACCGTAGGAATAAAAGTGTCTGAAACAATGAAAAAGGTTTATACGACCGAAAGTCTTGACCTCTATTTTAGCTCTTTCGTAGCCCAACATCTTCCGCTCAATAGCAATTAACGTGTCATAACCTCATCCTTGAAACCGCAGGCCGAACATGTACAAGCACGGCCATAATGGTTCCTGTATTAACAGAATGTGTTTTCCGTAATTAAGTTCGATTTATACCCTGTCACACTATACATATATCTGGCCGTTGATGAAGACATAGAGATCATTTTCTCTCCTTTCTCCGATTCAAAGACCAATCATATTGTACCAACTTTACATATTCACTTGAAAAATCACTCTTGAAAAACATTTATGCAAAATCAAAAAAAAATCGGATTCCATTGTGTGACATGGTGAACACCTTTGCGATAATATTCTTTACCTATAATCTTTAATATAAAATACTGAAAAATTTACTAATTATAAAATCTTCAAAAATATATCATATATAAATGTGATATATTATATAAATATATAAATTTATATATCACAAATTAAAATTTGTTTCCATCTACGAATTTAACATAGTACATCTGAATAATTGATATGCTCCAAAAAATCCATCTATCTATCTCTATAAAATTGTTAAACTATATCATCACCTTTCACCTTCCATATTATCCATGTTCCAAGCTACTACACTCGGAAATATTTCTCGTTTGGGAGATGTTGCGTCCCGAACACTGTAACTCTCACGGTGGGAGTTTCGCGGGGTTGTAAGGTCCATTTACGCGGATGCGACAATATTGCTAGGATCCCTACTCTAAATTAATAGAGCTAGACCTGGTTAGGGATGAACTAAAGAGTTCTGATGTATGACTGTCTCTTGCGCTGAGTTGATCGTCGTGGGTCTGTCTTAACTGTTTGGTCGTGATGATTGTTTTGCCTTTTTGAGATTTTTAGGACTTAACTCACTCGTGACTGCTGTCTCGATGGTTTTATAAGTTTTATATGTCTACTGATTGGTTGGTGTGAAATATAAGTGGTAGGTGTGGATCTTCCTATTGGTTGTGAATAATATTGGGGATGTGTGTTAGCTTCAACGTCTTTCTGTGGTGGTGGATGTTTAAATAATTTGGGTCCTTATGCCTATCGTCTTAAGGGTGATTTATTGACCCTTGCTAAGGTTCATCCAAGTGGTGACTAGGTGATAACGAGTGTATACGAATCAAGGGACGCTGACAATAAGGACATAAACAGTTCTCCACTTGAGACGTTCGGTCCTGGGGCCGCAACAGACGATAAAATTCGTTTGATGCTTATTTCACTGCATCAAAGGGGAGACTCGAATTTATAGGTGTCGAAGGGGCCAAAGAGTATAGTCGCAGATTCTGGTGCCTATTCAGCGACTGCATCCTCGGCAACAGCGTTATTAACTCAAAGAATCGCGAGACTAGTACTCCAACTTTCGACGATTTAGAGGCAGACGCTCGAGAAGATGACGTCGAGCTGTGTAAATTCACGAAGGTTTGGTGCAGTGGGAAGAAACATCGTCAGACAGACGAAAAGTTTCATGGAGTTGCTAAAAGGCTGAGATTTCAGCGCTGCGAGGTCACTCGAGCTAAGCAGAATGCACGAAACGTTTAATGGATGTAATCGTGGAGAAAATTCAGCGTTCCTTCTTTTCCCGGCTTTTTCCCTTTCGTCGTTGATTTTTGGTTGTAGTACCAAAGTACAAAGCATGTTATCTTGGACGATAAGAGCCTTTGTTCTTCGTTACGGAACAAAATGGCGAGGTTGTATTATTTTAGGACAGCGTCCCATACGTTGGAGAATTATTCGAAATTAAATTCTGTATTTTAAACAGTGGGTAATCGAAAATTTTGAGATACGTGTAGGTGTACTACGAAGATTTGTACGATGTTTGTTTAAGAAAATAAAGCAATTTCATTTTAATATTTAAATTTGGAATACTGCCTTAGTCCAAAGCTGTTTGCAATTATTTGTGTTAAAAAGACTATTTTATTTCACAAAAGAGGGAATTTAATATTTTATTTTCGAAAAATAATTATGTTATTGAATTTTATGACACATTACAGGCTCGAATCAGTTTTTAATTACTATACTGGTTTCACAAATTTATCAAAAATGGATGAGTAATTTTAGATTTATTGCCTTGAAAAAAAGAAATTCAAAAATCCTGAATTCATTGTAACTTTAAATTAAATTTCGTTCACTTAAAATAGTACCTGAAGTAAAAGAGTAATTTATATTTCCTAACTATGTGATTTACAAGACTTATCATTCTTCATACTAATTTTCATAAAGTTGCAGTATACCACTGGAAATGTACATCCAACCAAAATTAACACAGTTTGCTTAAAAATGTTTTAACTACTGTTTTCGAAATTTAAAAATATTACTCCTTTCGTGCAAATTTAAACCTAAAAATATCTGTGTAGGTTTAGCTCATCTATCCTTTCATTAAATAACCAGACATATACGAAAATATATCATGACAGAGAAGGTGACAAAAATATTATATAACCGTAGGTTCTGAAATATATTTTATTAAACGTCACGCAAACCGAATAGCAGTTGTTTAAAACAGATTGACAAATTTATTTAACACGTTTACTCGAGAGAAAAGATATGCAGAATACGGATCAATAACCGACAAAAATGAACGTCAAGAATACACGGTGTATTCTTTGCTACTAAATATAATTGATTAAATTGAATTCAATACCAGATTTATATAAACCACCAAACGGAAAATTGAAAGCACTTTAACGTTAAAAATTAAATAATGTCGAATGTAAAATATTAAAAACTTAAATATGAAATTTAAATGTGCTGTATCAAAAGATTAAACGAGGAATTTAAATATGAAGAGTTAAATTAGAACTAAATAATATTTTTCTCTTGCTATTTTCTGATCGTTTAAACTGAAATTTCACAGTTCTGGAACGGAACAAGCGGTCAATATATCTTTACTTATCCGTAAAATCTTCCAAAATTATTATCCCTAAACAAATTTCAAATATTCGCCGAAACATCATCGAACTGCAGAGTAATTACTTTCAAATTACTCATAAGTTAATCAAGGTTGTCACTCTAGAAAACCAAACCTGATTAGCGACTAATTGCAAAATCGAACGACAAAGTTTGGTGACTCGGTCGTAATACCAGTTTCAGAAATAAACCACGTTGCAACGTGCCGCTCCAAATAGATCAGTCAACTGGCAACTACAGATATTGCTTGATAAAGCAGTTTAAATTTATTGCGTGCGAATAGCTGTCACCTACAGAATAGAATTAAATTGCTGGGGCGTTTACCTCGTCTGATTGCCAACGGTGTACGAGCTCCTGTAGAAGCCTTGCAAGTAGTCGTTCAGATGGCCAACAAACTTTAGATGCACCACGTATTGCTTTCCCTTCTTCAACGTGTCCGACGTTCTAATCACGTAAAACTGCCGTTCGGTGTCGTTCTTCTGGTCGACGATTTTGACCACCTTCTCCGTTTGCACGCCGTTGTACTCCTTAATGTTCGTGAAACTCTCGTCGATGTCCATGTCCATCGCGTGCAGTGTCACATTTTTCGTGTCCTCCGTGACGTTCACCAGAATTTTCACCTGCAAACGTGGAAAAGTTAATCAGTCAATGCTGGAACTAACGGATTAATCAGAATCACTAATTTGCGCACACCTGGGAGTCTTTGTATACCCTATATTTGTCTATTTTGGTGTAATTATTCGTATAGTGCAGGTAACCCTCCTATAACACGGTAGATAGGTTCCTAAGAAATGACGTGTTGTGTGAAACCATGTTGCATGAGACCTAGAGCCAGCACAAAAAGGGGAGTTACGTCTCGAAAACATATTAAAAACAAATTTTTTTTTAATTCTACATAAACAACTTAATTCTTATTAAAAATATAACCGTATATACAACACAAAACAAAAGAAAAGCAAAAATATTATTTTAATTTAACGCAACTTTAATTTAATAAATTTCTTCGTCGTCACTGTTTATGTAGAAGTACAGTGTTGTACAAAGGTTTTTGCAATTTTCTTATCGTGTTAGAGCGAAACCGTGTTATAGAATACCGTGTTGTAAGGGGGTTTCCGCAATTTATGAATCGTGTTTACCGAAACCGTGTTATCGGATGCCGTGTTGTAGGAGGGCTACCTGTACATTATTTTCTGATAGTTTTAGCTTTTTAAGATAGGTTCTATTGTTACGTCTCGGTCTAAAATATATCACTATTTTTCAAATTCCCGGAATTAACACGCAGAATCGACCGAAAAACCAATTTCGCACCTAAATTTTATCAAAAAGAACCACGCAAGACACTGGTGCGTATTAGCGACAAGCCTCCCCCCCCCCCCCCCCCTGCTTCTATAAAGCTCGCATCATGGGGAGATACGACGCTTGTTCACCAAGCAAAGATACCTAACCACGCACAATGTCACACCAACTCAAACGATCGGAAAATTTTTATGAGTTTTCCGGGTGTAACACTATATTTTATTATCAAAGAATGTCTACATCGCTTTCTTTTATCTGATTATTTTCTGTAGGATGAGGTTTAAAAGCATTTGGTGTATTATCTGTTTCTAATTTATATTCAAATAATTTTTAATTATTGTTAGTTTATCGTGTCATTTCAATTATTAGGGTACGGGTATGAGATTTAGTTATATATTAAATGATGGTAATTTTGATGATTATCCTTCTGTAGACAGGGCCATTTTTCACATAAAAATTCGTTTGAACTAGAGGTTTTGAAACGTATAATGGAAAAAAGATAAGTTTTGTAGTATTACGTTGATAATTACGTTGATGATGATAGTGTTATGAGGAAATTATAGATCTTCATTTACATCAATAAAACTCCTCGTTACGAGAAAACACGTTTTTGAATATATTAACACCCAAACAACCGGTAATAAGCGGTAGATGACAAAATAAATGAAGATGCTTAAAAACAAATGTGAGAAAGCAAATGCTGCTCTTGCTAAAAAATTAATCTTATGCATATTAGAGGAAAAGTCGTGGAAGCAGGTAATCACGGCGATAACGCTGAATCTGAAATTTTTAATCAAAATTTTAGTGTTAATCGTGATACTAAAAGACTTTGGACGACTATTTGTCGATATTCATTTTCAGAGTTTTAATTAATATTTACTTGATTAACAATTTTAATTTACGATTAACCAGGTACAAACTGACTGTTTATTTGGTTTCGTAGGTAAGTTATTAACCATTTTAAATTAATTATCCTGTTTAACATCCTTATTAGGGTCATTAACCTAATACTTTGCAGCCATCGATAGTGCACATTATGTTTCATCTGGAATGCTCACAGATCCATCTAATTCCTTTAGAACTGTCAGGAATATATACTCTATTCAACGAGAATTGGCAGGAAATATAACTGCTGAATGTAGATGCTCAGGGTCGACTTTTAGAAGTCCTAAATTGGGGCCTTTGCGTACAAGGCCAACCAAAATTTTCATCGAAATATTCGATCGCAGGTCTGACGTTTCGATCCTGGTCTGATCACGCATAGCTCATGTGTAGCAATTCTCGTTAGAAGAAATATAGTAATCCTTGAGTGATTCACTGAGTGAGTCAATTGAAATTCTAATCGTGACTCCTGATCGACTCTGAGCTAAGTCTCCGGATTTAGACTTAGCCTGAATGAAAGTAATCGAACTAACGGCTTTCGAATGAGCCTGATCCAAGATCGGATGATGAATAAATTAAGATTTCTAATTGGTCATATGCTGATATATTCCGAATTGATTGGTCTTTACTCGATAATATGAACTTATAGCTAAGTAACCTGCTTCTGTCTAGTCTTGATTATCAGAATACAAATTTGAGAGATCCTCGAGATTAGATAGAAAATATTCTTCAAATTTTTACGATTTATTCTGAAGTCCTTGGCCAACTGTCTTTTGAATGTTAATGTATTGAAAAGCACAAAGCCCCTTTGAAGTATATGATTTACGAGACGAGTATGTGCTCTGCTAGTGAAAGAAGTGTTTTAAAAGGCACTGTCTTCTTGCCAAAGTGCTTGATGTTTCGAGCAACCTTGCGTGTCATAAATCATGTTAGCAGCGAGTGTTAATAATTCTTTTGACATTCTAATGTCTTTTTAACAGGTTCTCTGTTACATTTATTACACATAATCCACAAGAATTATTGTTACAGATGTTATTTCTATTAACTCTAGAATACAAGATCATACAAGATCACATATTGATAAATTAAATTTTTTGTAATATTATAAAAAATATTCTACGAAACTGCGAATCCTTTATTATTACCCATTCTGTATTTTTCGTAGATGTATGAAATATATTTGCAGGACATATCGTTTAATAATACATATTGTGTGATATAAATGAATAATTATATCCAATCGATCCAACTAAGAACATATTACTAAAAGAAGCATTTAATTTTCATTACTGGTTTAAAATTTTCAATTTTGGAAATGTACAATAAAGTCGAACAAAAATTATTTTGTATTTTTACTTTTTATCTTTAATAGGGTCAGAATTTTAAAAGATTATTTCCTAATTATTACTTGACTTTTAGACTCTTCTAAATACATTCTTTAATTTCAATGTCTTCCTTATTTCTAACGTAGCACAATGGCCACAACAAATAGAAACTGCTATAAGAATTTTACTATGAAAATTTACATAAAAATGATTAAAAATGACTTTCCCTTACAAAATTAATTACTTCTGTTAGCCTGTTATTTCCAATACCCGATCAAAATGAACGCATTGTACAGGAGATAAAATGGCGTTTCAAACTTTCTAGCTACTACACTGGCTACTTTCACCCCCCAGGAGGAACTTCTGATCGTTGTCTTGATTTTCCATACTTTTGGTACGGGTGCATCAAGCTGAAGATTAAACGTCGAGATATCGTCGAAAGCCACGAATTAATTATACATCTCTTGTTCTACATCTTTTGAATTAAGGTACTTTCAAAGCACAGCGATCTTTGTTTTATCTGTTAACCGAAGGAGAAATCCTTTCCCTTTGTCCAACGGTTTCCCTGATTGTTTCTGATATCTCGGAATACGGAAAATTCGAACAACAGAAGCCTCCCTGAGATGTCATCCATTATAAATGAAAGCGAGATTCATCGAACTCAATTTGTATACTTTCATCTCGATTCGTTAGCGAACACTCCTTCCGTGGAATATAAAAATGAGATAAATGCATATGAAATGGTGGACTTCTTTAAAAACACAGGAACGAAACGGCAGAAACACGTTTAAGAGACGTAACAGTCTTCAAGCTGGACGACTTTTCGTAGAAAAGAGCCGCATTATAATCGCAAAATGGGATAAAAGCGAAGACAGCTTGAAGGTATTACAAAGACCATGAATATTCCTTGCCCTAAATAGAGAGCATTGAATTTGAAAGGAAGACCATCTTTCATCTCTTTCGTCGATGACACATCGATGGATTTACAATTTGGTTCACTCTCTTCACACTGAAACTACAGACTCGTATTATAAATCTAAACAAAATATAGTATAACAATAATATAATATAATATCTTAATATGAATGTAATATACAATATAATATCAATTAAAGTGTTAAGATTTTTGTTATTATTATTATGTATTATTATTAGAATATATCGTGATTTATTAGATATATATTTGTTAAATATAGTTATAATAATAATTAAATCGTAAAAATTATAAATAAATACATTATTATTAATTGGACATTTATTTCAACGAAGATCTAGCTTAATTATTTGAAATCAATCATTCGGACTAGCATAGTAGTTCGAATGATAAAAGACAATCGATCACATCTACTTATTGAAACAGCATCCCTTTCTCTAAATGAACCAACTTTGCTATAACGCTCAAAGAACCATTCCGCTCCGCTTGAAGAGTAATCGATCAAACCTTTCCACGAGAACAGTGTCTCTCTAAAATATACCTCTATCCTCTATTTCATGGCTGTGTCTCTACTTTCTAGAAAGATAATTCCTCAGTAATAAACATCGATGCGCTAGATTATCGCATAATTGATGATTGAAATAATCAGTTTCGATAGAAAAATAATAATAAATTAATAATAATTTTATAACAAAGAAAAATAATAATTAAAATAATACAAATTTTCCAATTCCTTCATTTGTGAATTGTGCTTTTGGTGGAATGAACTAAACTCTTTAATGCTCTAATTAATTAAACTTTTGAATACTCCATTATTACATTTTCGTGAACGACCAAACCTTATTTCATTAAACCATTTAAAAGCATTTTGAAATTTTGGAAACGGTCTTTTATACTTTCTTACGTCTGAAATTTCTGCTCCATAAAATTCACAAGTATTTTTTTCAACATCCATGAACATATTTCCCCTTTTTAAATTCGTGAAGCATACAATGCCGCGAGTGAATTTCACCAGCACGTATTTCTAAATCCTTTCTGACGATTTATAAATTATCCCTCTGGTGATATGGACTGAAGAATTCTTGTTCTTTTGGCGCTACCAAAGAACGTTTATATTTGCTGCCCTTGAATAGCGAAATATGCATATTCAAGTGAGTATTTAAAACTATATAAGATATATAGCAAAGAAGAAGTTTCGAGATTATATTAGCAACAGAAATGGAAAATAGTTTAAGGATATATACAATATTTATAGTACTTTTATCCAAATATAGACTATTAATGGTGGTGCAGAAATATTTCAAAGCAATGGATCGTATAGGCAGCCATTAATTGGAAAATAAAAAGTTTCAACATGATGTTGATGTTTATTTCGCTGTTATGACAGCCCTAAAAAGATTTTCCATTAAGCCCACGACCGCCGCTAGTCTTCCAATCTGTAAACTCGCTCCTAACTATAATACAAGGTGGACTATTTAACATGATCACCTCGATCATTTTCAACTATTTAATAATTTTCTGATACATAGCAAAACCTGAAAGAACCTCCAAGATGGCAACGATTGATTTTTGTTAAGTTAACTATGCCACTAGAAATAAAAGGAATCTTACTATATAATTTACTAAGAACGAGAATAATCGAGGTAGATCGCTCTATATAACATATCATTTTAAACACTTTTATTTAATTTAAATACGTATTTCATTTATTAAAGGTAGAAAATTTAAACATTAGAATACTATCATATGTAAGCATACATATTTACACTTACTATATCTAATACTTCATTATTTTACTGTTTTATTATTTTTATGTTCGCGCTAGTAATTATCTATTGCATTTAATATTCGAATTTTAATGTACAGTGCGTGACATAAGAATAGCACACTATGATTTTCAATATTTCTCGAGCAACTTCAAAGCGATACATCTCGAGAAAGAAGTCATGTTATAATTTAAATTTGATTTCACGAGGGAAGATTAGTACTATTCAATGCAGTTGGTAAAGATATTGGAATTGCATTTTCAAAGATATTGAAAATCACATTCTCAAAGCAGAAATAGACGCTGTATAGCTTCTAGATAAAACCAGGCTGTTACGACATCTGCTGAAACAGGCTACCAGTTTTTGTCCAATAGTTGGGTAGAAAGTTCTCGTTCAAGGGTACAGTCGGTGACTAGAAAGGGAAGAAAATGGTTTCGTACCTCGCCATTGAAAGTGAAGTTTCCCACTTGTATAAACGGTATGAGCCAGAGATCGTAGGAGTCAGGGATCACGGATCTCGGTAATCGGACGTCCAACTTTTTCTTGCCGAATGTGTCCGTGCCGGATGTCCCACGGCCCTCGAACTCCGTATTGCTGAGATCGTTGCATGGTTTGGGGGGCTTTCCCTCGTGGCACGGCGATAAATGATAGACCAGAAGCCCGATGGTGACCACGGATATGAAGAAAGTAGCGACCAAAAGGAAAGCGCCGCAAGGGGAGACTGTGCAGGCTCTTTTACGTCCGAACGTTGTTGTGTGCGTGTCCATCATCGCCAAAACCTCGCGGGACTGGGTCATATCATGTGTAAACCTGAAACAAGAAGAAAGCAAGAACGGTAGTCTTGATAGGTGTCTGAAGGTCCCGGCTGGTATAGTGGTAATATTTTGGGACGCAATTTAGCTTAAATTGAACGAGGAAACGTTGTATTATGTTGGAATATCGAGGTCAATATTTATTGGACGATAATTAATTAGTATATGTATTCAATAATTGGGAAATATCATATACGAAAGATTGAAAGTACTGGAAAAATTGGAAATATTGAATGCAGATAATTGAGGCATATGGAAAATTGGTGGTTTTAAATGGTTTTAATTTTAACTTTACATTAACGTATTCACGATTTTAAAATAGTTTAATCAGGAAATAATCATTGGAACTCACGAGAACTCATTTGCAACTTCGATATTTGTTACGGACTGTCAATTTGCAATTTTGATGTAACTAACAATCCATATCGACTAAAAAATTCTAAATGTTATGTAATGCTTTGCATGAAGAATATGTGAAAGAAAAAATAAATTAAAAGAAAGTATTTATTTCGTTAAAATAAAGTTTCCTTTTTCTTTGAAGAAAGTAAATGAAATTTGCGACTAATTTATTATTCGTTATGTATTTATATTTTTCACTATATTTGTATGAAGAATAATGATAAATTATTTTAAGTCTGACTGACAGAAACATTTAATAAATAGAAAAAAAACTTTTCATTTATTATATATGTTGTAATTGATATTATAATTAATAATAACAATTTTACAATTTTAATAATTCCACAAATATTTTAAATTCATAACTATACATGGTAAATAATTTTCTTATGAATGACTGTTTAAACTTCTCCAATAATTTCAGTAACTTGGTATATTTAACAATAAACTGAATTATCACAATTGTCAATTTCCAGCATAAACAATATACAACATCCAAAGCCATCTTATTCCACATTAATTTACATCTCAATATTTTTTTCTTCATAAATAGATATTAAACTCTAATTATTATTTGAAACTATTTTTACACAAAAATAATTTTCAAAACGAACGATATTCTTCTACAAACTACAATTTAACCCAATTCTTCCTCTTCCAAAGAATACAAAATTTCAAGTTTCGGGAAGCTTCAAAATATTGTTATATAACGTTATTACGCATTAGAATGAGCATCGCGAAATTAGCACGTTACATAAATTTTTAACCCGACTTTTAAACCTAAATAGACACCCAGAGGACCATCGCTAGCAGCCAGGTCGTTCGGTTGTAAATAACATCGGTTTTGCACCTGCTGTTTGCTTAGGAATTCAATCCTACAACATATTTTCTTCATCTACTGTTCTATCCTTCAGGCGTGTATGTACACATCGTCATTAGCATCCGTGACGAAACACCCGAAGGCTGTCATTGGAGCATTGTCCCGGTGAAACTTCCTCTGCGGCGTAAACAGGGTGAAGGCGAACGATCATTAAAAGTAATTTCACGTTCGAAATGAACGCGCCAAGGAATCGCGAACTGCCTTTAAACGGCCGGAAAAGATCCTTCTAATTGGCCGTCGCCTCTTATTGGTAACGAATCAATTAAATAGGCAGTGCAACCTCTGTGCAATCAATCTATAGGGACATCGATTGGCTTTAGCCAACACGAGCAGCTACGGCTCGACACAGCTACTATTACGATGGAACTCTGCCGTGTGAACTGCCATTAGTGGAATACTCCACTATTTGGAGTTTGTTATATTCGCGAATGCACTGTCCAATCGTGCCTTTTCATAATGTATTTGATTCATTTAAACTTCCTCTTCTTAAAAAAAAAAATTTAATAGATCGGTTCAATTGTAATATTGTTATGTAATCTTATTATCATTTACGTCATTTATGCAATTTTATTATTTTATTATTATTATTATTATTATTATTATTGTATTGTTTAATTGTTATAATATTAGTAGTAATGTAATGTGGTATTAGAATAATGTGACTGTAATACAGACCTGTATGGGTGTTAAGTGTTATGTGTATAAGCCATTATATTTATATGATGCTACCTCGATTGCTTCAATATGGATACAATAGTGTTGATCGTGGGAATTAATTATAAGAAAGAATGATAAATATAAAGAGGTCTTTAATAGATAGTTGTAGAAAACAATGAAATGAACCAATTATTGAAAATTGGAAATAACAGATATTGTATAAATAATATATTTGATGATTAGAAATGATGCCTTATATTAATATTTTGATAGTTGAAGAAATAAATATATTATAGAACATAAATGTTTATCATAAAAAAGGACTTTTACATTTGTTACATTAACAAATTTTTGTCTCTTCTAAAATATTCAAAGTTAATAATAAGAATCATGGAAATCTGCAGTGAAAAAGTTCTATTCGCACCATTTCAATTTTCTGGTGAGCTGTTTAATTTACTTCACGTATCTAACGCGGTTTATAGTGTTATTAAATATATTATATCATGTTAAGAGAAAAGTATGAGTAAAACATACACATATACCTAATGTATATCTTTATACTTCGAATTTGCTTTATTACGTATGGGGTGACCTTCAAATTATAGTCTGGGTGTTATAGCATGATCGTAAAATCAGTCAAGCGAAAAACCATGAATGTTCCAACTTCCGAAATAGTAACTCGAGGTACCATTTAGACGAGACGAAGTGATCGTGTGTTATTCAGTATCATATGATGAAATTTTGGAATAGATTTCATATATTACTAACTATAGCCAGCCATAAAAATGAAAATATTTAATTAAATTAAATAGGAAAACAGAAATTCTTTGAAATATCCAAGAATAACCAAATGACAATAAATTAATAGTCATTAATTGTAATAAAACCCAGTTACAATTATGGCATAATCGACGTGTTCCTTACTGCATGGACCATAAACTGAGTTCACGTTAATCAATCTTTGACTAAGTCGTTCAAGATTTATATAAAAATTTATAGAGCTCCGTCATTCAGTATGTCTGTCGTTCAACATAAATATTGTACCACGTAAAGCAATATATCTATTTCTATCGCCCGTTATTTACGATATTCCAGTATTTACATGATCAACTAGCATCGTCGAATCAAAGATAGATTCTAGTCGAGCAATGAAATATCCTTTCAATTTAATCGATAAACGCGAATGATTTTAATCGGCTTGAGATCGATTGATCTATGTAAACGTGGCTTTAGGTGTCATGTCATAGCTGCGTCAATCGCTGCCCTGACTTGATATAATAATTTACGACGTTACTATATCACTCGAACAGACTATATATACCTTAACATAATGACTAATTCGAAGATTAAAAATGTGCACGCAACAAAGCCGAGAAAAGCAATCCATATTAAGGAGAACCATAGTCATATATTATTGACAATCAAGTGCATAGTAAAATATTTACGTCTTTTAAAGTAAAATTAATAGAATCAACTTAATAAAACATATTCTCCTTTTGCTTAAATAATATTAATTAATTAAATAAGAGAAAAGTCATATATTATATTATATAAATAATAATAAATTTTATTTTTATTATACTTTAAATAATAAATATTTAATTATGAAAAATCGAATCGTCCCATTGACTTTTTCTTAGATTTTTCCCTCAGGGACATTACACAGTAGAGAAATCACGAGATAAATAATACGCTTGTTTCGTTTTACATATTTTCCCTCGAATATAGATAAATACTGTGTACAGAATTATACAGTAACGATCGCGATTATTTGCAAAGACATAAATACAGACGACGGCTACGTGATTTCCTTTCCTCGCATCAGAACACACCGGCAAATACCCACGGCATGTCGATTGCCACGAAAACTTCACAAGAATTCCATGGCGCACCAAATGTCGTAACGATTACACCGTTAATCCGAAACATTTACCCGTAATTTCACGGTCTAACACCGAATACCACTGAATAGTGTGTGAAGCAATTGTAAAAAGTTTAAACGTACTTGTATCGAAAAATACCAAATAGAGAAGGAAAATAATTCGAAATTATATTTCAAATAAACTATTTTTCTTTAATATCGATTAAATTATATCTCTGTTTTTGTGAATAATATTCTATATAACATTGTTCTGAATATTTTAAGTTCGGATGTAGTAGTATAGGAATATTCTCGTTTAAGCAGAAAAATATTAAAATAACTTTTCCTTAATTTCATCGAATCAGAAGAGTAAATAACGAGTTTAAGTTATATTTCAAACTACTACTTTTCTATGTATATCCGTAATATTTCCTAGTTTAATTATAATCATATATCAAGGCACAGAATTTGATCAATAGCATAGAATGGAATTCAAATATCAGCACTGGGATCCTATTAAAAAATTCTCCCTTGACAAAGTATACCAATACACATGTTGCTACTTCACGAAAATTCCATTCCATGGAACCTTACAGACCGAATTAGCAACAGCGAAAAACTGCTTACTATTTGAAAACTATCACGTACGATTCACAGGCTAATAAAAGCCGAATTTTCATGGATTCACCTCAACAACAAAAGCAAAGTTGAACAACCCCATTGGTACTCTCGCGACGTAAAGATTCCGCCCACTTACACCGATCACACCGATCAGAGTCACCCGACACGCTAAATCGAGATACCTCTCGCAAGATCCCATTACGAAATTTACCTACCATGAACAGTCACCACGGCGATGTCTATCTCAGCGAGGAGTGCGGAAATCTCGCGGAACTGCTTCACGGGCGCGAGATGAAAATGGATACACACGGGAAACGTGTACACGATATCACGCGGGACACGAGGTTCAGAGAGGCGAAACTTGGAACGTTAGTTGGCGAAGAGGCATGCCAATCGACGATGATCGCGAAGGGAAATCAGCAGGAGCGCGCATTCCAGCTTCGCGACTTCCTCGACCCTCTCCTTGCCATCCGCGCTTCCTGCCCTGCCGATCGATTACTCGTCGATCGCTGTATCGCCTTAACCTCACATCCTCCCACCTGCATGTCGTCTTCCGGATCACGCGAA